CACCGTTAGGGCGGCTAGGAGCTGGAACCAACTTCCAAGGGAAGTGGTGCTGGCCCCTACCCTGGGGGTCTTTAAGAAGAGGCTGGATGCCCACCTAGCTGGACTCGTTTGAGTCCCATTTCTCTTTTTGGGGTTTTTGTTGTTCTCCCGCCCTGGCGGGGGGTCGGGCTAGAAGATCTACTAGGTCCCTTCCGACCCTTAATCTATGAATCTATGAAATGGTTTGGAATCATCTTTAAATGCTTTTTTGGAAGTATTTATATAGTTCACTCAAGTTTTATTTTAGATGTTCTCCCTTTGACATGCACTGTGGTTCCCATTCCCAAGTGCAGTTCAGAAGATAAAATGCTGTTTGTAGAGCTGCTGGCATAGTACTTTCATATGCAAGTTGCTTATAAACAACTTTATTTACCTATACAAATGCTGATGCTAAGATAAGGTTTGGGTATTGCACCAAATACTTCTCAGGGGGAGTGTCTACACGTGACGCTACATTGCCATAGCAATGCACTACAGCGATGTGGTGTCCTTGGCACAAACTGTGATGGCACAGCTATGTCGCTGTAGCAACACACTCCCTTGTTATAGCGCACTGATTCAGGAAGTACTAAAAGATGGCACAGTAACAAAGGCACCATAGACATGCCCAGGAGATAGAGGGTTTGCTGCTGCCTCTCAAAACAATAAGATTCAACAGATTCAGTTGCTACATCCAGGGTGCATCTATACATGCATTAGATCCAAGATCAGTTTACTTGCAAATAAACTACTTGCGAGTAAATGCTCCCAGGTAGAAATCTACACATGCAGGACATGCAGGGAGCAGATCTGCTGCTCTTAGTACCGAACTGCTGCCACTTTCTGCAGCCCTGCAATGGGCCCCTGCCACCACCACAGAGAGCTCTGGGCTTCGGCTGCAGTTGCCAGCAGCTGGCAACCCTCTTGTAAAAGCAGCTCTGCTCGCAACTCCATGGCCAGCCACTTCCCTGGTCAGAAGCAGCGTGAACAGCAGAAGGGCAGCATACGGCAGCTCTCTCCTTGTCAATTCTTCCTTCCCACACCATGGCTGCTCTAGCCCCTGCCTCTGGCAGGACAACCAGCACAACGGACTTCTGCTTGTCCACTGCGCTGACCGCTGGCTAGCCCACTGTGCTGACCACTGGCTGGTCCACAGCTGTCTGGCTCCTCCCAGCTCTCCCATGCACAGGGACCACTGGGCCAGCACCACTGTGCCATGCCAGGGCCACTGCCATGCAGCTGCAAACTGGAACCTGTCTGGCTGGCTAGACTCTGGCAGGGACACCAATGACATGCTGCTGGAGACCACCATCAGGGCTGTCCTTGTCCTCCTGGGCATCCAGCCCCACCACCTCTGGGCCCCACCAGTCCAGCCAGGACTGGTCCAGCCAGGATGAAATCATCAGCAAAGCTAACTGCACTTTATCATGCATCAGCAGATACACGACAAATAGAACCAAAGAGGGTCTATGTGGCATTGGTCAGATGCAGCATTGGTCAGACCGCAGTTGGAGTACTGCATCTAGTTTTGGGTGCCGTACTTTAAGAAGGATGTGGATAACCCTGAAAAGGTGCAGAGGAGGGCCCCTTGTATGGTTAAGGGTTTTCAGGCCAAGCCCTATGAGAAGAGACTAAGGGACCTGGATGTCTTAGGCCTCCTCAAGAGAAGGCTGAGTGGTGATCTTGTTGCCACTAACAAATTCATTAGGGAGGTACAATAAGGAACTGGAGATGCTCTGTACACCAAGGCACCTTTTGGGGTAACAAGGAGCAATGGTCATAAAATAACAGAGAACAGATTTAGGCTAGATATCAGGAAGAACTTCTACACGGTGAGGGAGGTTAGAATTTGGAATGGGCTTCCAAGGGAGGTGGTGGTCTCCCCGACCTTGGGGGTCTTTAAGAGAAGGCTGGATAGGCATCTGGCTGGGGTCATGGGACCCCAGCGCTTTTTCCTGCCTAGGCAGGGGGTCAGATCTGATGATCTGTTGAGGTCCCTTCCAACCCTAGCATCTATGAATCTATCAGTCCATGGTGTCTGCATGTCTTCCAGCAGACCTGGGATGGCAAATCATGGCCAGCGGGATTCTGAATGACCTAAGCCACCATCCTGGACCTCTAGAAGCATCTTCAGTCACACCTGGAGTGACAGGACACCATCCTTCCCTGCAGACACCCAGCTGGACCTCTCCCTGCTGCAGCTGGCCATACCTGTCATCCTGGTGTGTGGGGCCATAGAGTAAAGGTGCCTACAGGCAGAGCCCAGAGGCAGGTGGCCAGTACCCAGGCCTCTGGCTGTTCCCCCACAAGTGCATATGCTGTGGTAAGCCCAGCAGGTGGGTGGCTTGTCCAGGGAGACACTGACTGGTGGTCCCCTGGTGCGGGCACTTCTCCCTCTGTCAGTTGGTGTCCAGGACCAGCAGGGCTGGTGTGTGGTCCTGGCCCCTCTGCAGGAAGTTCTGGCTCCATGCCCTCATGGAGTCAGGGTGAGAGGAGAGCCTGAGCCAGGCAGAGGGGCTGGGTGGTGGGGGACCCAGGGTGGGGTCCAGGGCAGTAGCTCTTGGCTGCTGGAGGCAGTGCAGAACCTCCCCCCAGGCCCAGAGGGCATTGCTGCTGGGTGGTGGATAGCTACAGGTGTACCTGCACACCTGGAATGGGACCCTGAGCTTTGACAGCATGGAGGGCAAGCCCAGGCTCCCCCATAATCTCAGCCACCACCTGGAGGGCTACCTGTGACTGTGATTCATTTCTCTGCCCCCCACAGCTGAGGAGGATATAAGTGGCATTGACACATTCCTCAACTTGGGAGAGGCCCATGCCCACTTAGCTGCAAGGGCACAGACTGCTCAGTAAAGTTTTGCACTATCTTCTGCCTCCCTGCATGCTGTGGAGGGGGACCCAGGACCAGAGGAATGTGGGCAGGCTGGATGGCAGGGAAGCAGGGGCCGGTGGGGAGGTCCTTTCCCCCAGTGCAAGGCTCACCACATCACCAGGGTTGGCATGGCCAGTGGCTCCTCTCAGTCCCGGCTGGCAGCAACAGCATGTGGCTCCTGGTGGTGTCCTTGGAGGGCAGAGTGTGGCATGCAGCCATCTGGTCAGAGGTCCCCTCCCTGCCTCCCCATGAAGAGCTAGTGCTGTTAGCAGCTGGCAGTGATATGGCCAGCCATGCCTTGTAGCTGGGGCTGGGGCTGGGGCTGCCAGGTTGCCACAGTAGGCACTGGCCTGGGGTCCCCGAGCTGCTGGTGGAGGCTGCAGCTCAGGTGCTCAATGGGAAAGACTGCTGCAGGCCTGAGGGACCCTCCACAGGCAACACATCACTATGGATGCCAGGCTGGTGTTGGGGTTTAGGCAGGCTGCATGCACTACTGTACGCAGCACAGCTGTAGGGAGGTACATGTATGGAGGTACAGCTGGGGCATGAGGATAGCTGTCAGTGGCCATATAAAGGGCATGGACATGTAATCACTCTCCGACTTGTGACTGTGGTCAGTCATAGTGACCCACTGTACCTGCAAGGTCTTCACCTTTATGCAACACTGCAAGCTGACCAGTTTTGTCCATGCTCCCACATCCTGCCTGATAGCCCCTCATAGACATAGGCATTGGAATGCCTGCTCTGCATGAACTAGCACTGGACCTCCACCTCATCCTACAGTGCCACAAGGTCACCAGTCCCCTCCATGGACCAGTTGGGGCCCCAGGTGGTAGGCATAGGTTTGGACATGGGTGTGGGTGAGGACAATGCCGTCAGGGGTCCCTCAATGGCTCTCTGGGATGCTATCCAGCTGTCCATGTGATGCCAGGCCTAGGCAGATGCTTGCAGTGCCCAGAACAGGGGCACAGCATGCGACTGAGTGCTGCGTGGTAAGACAATACCCCACAGCACCTGCAGGCTCCAGGCAAGCTACTGGGATGGGCTGTAGGCAAATGGAGCTGGACAGTGCGGGTCCAACAGGCACGTAGCACTGAGGTGCCAGGCAGTGATTCAGGAGGGGCAGGAAGGGTGTCACAGCTCGCCCTCAGGCTGGCCCACTAGTGGCAGCGCATCTATACATATGCTACTGTGCAGTAACTAATTGTGAGTAAATTTGCTACCTGCATTTGCCAGTAGCAAATTCACTCATGATTAGTGTTTTTTACTGTGCATTAAGCATGTGCATGTGTAGATATGTGCACTTACTGGGCAGCAAACTATGCTACTGCGCAGTAAAATGTCTCATGCAGATGCTCCCCCACAAAGAGTTTTAAGTTTTTCTTGTTCCCATTTCTTCACTTTATGGTATAATTCTCTGTTTAGGGGGACAAAATAAAATTTTTATTTATTAAAAATTTATCTTTATGACTGCTGAGCTGTAAAAATCTCCCTGTGCATTTGGGAGTTTAGAGATGTGAAGTCTGACTCTAATTCAGAAAGCTTTGCAATTATACATATATTATATAGTTAATATATCTATTTAAATTAAACCCATGTGTAGAATACAGACTTTGGCATGCTGAGATCTTTCCACTAATCTTCCTAACCCCTGACCCTGCATCCACCTATGTGGATGAACTTGTTAGAATGAGCCTCTCTCATTTACAGTACTCACAATGTTGGGTTTCTCCAGATGTGTGAAAAACTTAAGCTGTGATGATCATATCCACTTCTATTGAAGTAGTGATTATATTTGCATGGATTCAGCCCGAATTGGGGACAGTGATTTGATTCATTGACTGTGATCACTGTCTCTGATTTGATTTGGCCGAATCCAAAACTGAAGATTCTACACTGATTTGGAGAATCAGTGATTTGGACAGATACAGATTTGAAGGCTTTTTCTACATACCTCGAGGTACCAGGTGTGGCTTGAGAATTCTGCAATGCTGTGGTGGGTGGAGCATCCCACAGGAGCACGGGGGTGGGGAGGGGGTAGTTGGCAGTAAGCCCAGAAGTGGACTGGAAGTACTTCCAGTCCACTTCCAGGTCCACTGGGGAGAGTGCCAGGAGGCACCCCTGTGCTCCCCAGCTTGGTGATAAGCTGTGCAGGACCCCAGGTGTCCCTCTAGACCCAGGAGACACCAGTCACTGAGCCAGGGTGGCACAGGGGGGTCCTCCAGCATGCTCCCCGGCAGACCCTAAAGTGGACCTGGTCCACTCACTTCTGGGTCTGCTCCTGAGCATGCTGGGGAGCCCCCCGTGCTGCTGTGGGATGCTCCATCTGCCCAACCATCACAGCATTCACAAGCTGCCTGGTACCTTGAGGTATGTATAAAGCACATTTAAAGTTGTGTCTATGTCCAAATCACCAAATCTTTCTGAATATCTCCAAATCAATTCAGAGGGTTCCAATTTGATTCAGAGAGATTAAAGGGTTTCCTGATTCAATTCAGATTTGGAGATTTGGTTGTTGAATGGAATCAGGAACTGAAGCTTTATGCAGCCCGAGAGAGAGAGAGAGAGAGAGAGAGAGAGTGTATAAAATGAAGGTGGATAGAAGGTGGATAGAAACAATGTGAACCGAACTGTATACTATTCAGGCTAAGTGACCAATATTTTGACTGTTCTAGTCTGAAAAGAAATGTTCCAGTTTATTAGGGGGCATTTTAGAAGCATAAAATATTGTTTGGAGGGAAAGGGGAGGGGGGCAACTTTGGCAGTGTCTCTAATGCTTCTCAGGTAGCTTAAATTAATGAGCTACAGCTAACAAACTTCCCCATAGTTTTGAATATGAATCTTGGTTATCTTTCTGTTCCCTGTTATATGCTTCAGTTAAGCATCACTACATTTGGTAAAATCATATTCCCTACTCTGTAAAATGAGTGTAGCATACTTTCTGTAACTGTAGCATACAAAAGGCATACTTTCATCATATTTCCTGAAATGGAATATGTTCTTATGCATTTTTTTACAAGCTGAATAAAATGAGCTAATCAGGCAGAGTTCTGGCTTTTAAAGCAGATGTCTATTTGAAGCACATGGATATTGATCAGACACTATTAGGGGCAGCAGATGCTGGGATAATTTAGATTTTCCAGCAAGGAGAGAAAGCAGTATTTGCCATCACTTTCTAAGATGAGCATATTTGGAGTCATTTTACAAAAATCATATGGTGTTCCTAGATGGTACTTGAGCTTTGACCACCCCATCAAAAAACCCTGCATTATATTGCTAGAATCTCAAAGGAAAATCTGGAGGGACAAATTCTAGCATCCTACAAACATTTGCTCTTAATGCTATGGTGAATATTAGTTGGCAGTTGGGAAAAGGTAGTTTTAACAACTGAAATACTATACATGCAGGCACTTACTGAAAGTTAGAACAATCAGTGAAAGGTTTTTATGTAAATGATAATGTCATTTCAGTGAATAAGAAAGGATAAAGATGTGGACCATCAACCCTGGCTCCTAGACCCCCAACCTTGTGCAACATCTTCATAGCACCTTGTACAAGCCATAGCAATATTATGCAGAGGCAAAACATTACACTATTCTCTGGCTGATCTTGAGTTTTCAGATGTGCAGCTCTAGTACTTGCCAGAATGTAACGCTTACATTTTTGTTTGATATTATAGTAATATAATAATGCCAAATCCATCATAACGCTTTATCGATGCTTGAAGTTACAGAAGGTTTCTATTATAATGTATCTGCAGTGCTCCAGATTAGAAGGACTTTCATTCTGCCCGGTGAATGACAAGTGGCAAAAGAACCTATTACAAAAGCAGGAGATTCCTGCTTATCAAAGGCTAGATTTGTTCTTCACACCACTGTACGTAGCCAAAGTCTAATAACCTATGTATTCTATGTGAGTTTTCACTCATTAGAAAGAAAATGTCACGGAAGAACTGAAAGAAAGAGAAGCAGAAAAATGTCTAACCTATTCCTCAGTGCCAATTTCTGTCAGTACAGTTGGTGTCATGATTGGCAGAACAGACAAAGAACATTCAGATTTTGAAAGTTTTTGAAATGTCTCTGTGTGGCTGAAAAAGCAGGTGAAATATGTCTTAGAAAACTTCAACCATAAGTAAGTGCTGCACCATTTTTAGACCAAAGTGCTATTCTTTCCTTAGTGCTTCTCACAGAACTTACAGTTTTGTTTTAAATAGTTTTGGCTGATAAATGAACATGAAGGACACTCTGGAGCACTTCTTTCTGCTGATTTGATTCAGCGCTATATCCCACACCGCTCATGGACAGAGCAAGTGTTTCTCTAGTTCAAGATCAATGAGATGGAAGGCACAGAAGAAAATGTATAAATTTTACTTCTTCTTTCCTTTGAGTGAGGAGAGAGAATATTTATGTTCCTCATTTGAAGACCCATCTCAAAAAGCACTTAATCTCAGATGCCATGAACTCTCTAATTAAAATTGGTTGTCTAGCTCTATATTTGACAATAAAAAAAAAGCTGGTAGACTATTTCTCATAATGCAGCAAGAACCATACTTTAAGAGAGCTTCCTCATGCAAAGTATCCATATGTAAAATGGTAAAATGTCACATCTGAGTTCCATTACTTAAACTTTTTGTGGCTGACTGGTATTTTCAGCTGGACCAGACACTGCTGGACAGTCCCCAAAACCTGGCCCTTTAACCTCTGCCCCCTATATACTTACTAGGGCTGTGCAAAATTTCACTGGCTGTTTTGTTTTGACACTGTTTTGACTGATTTCAAGGTCAAAATAGCAAAATTAAAGCAAAACAAAGGGCTGTGAAAAAGCCTTAAACCAAAACAAGGCTAGTCAAAACATTTCAAAAGTCAAAATGTTTTGACCATAGTGCTGGGGAAACGAAATCATCCCAGCTGGGCTGACTTCCCGTTCCCAGCAAAATGTCAAAACAGCATCGAAACAGCCTTTCTGTTTCAATGAAACAGAACAGAACAGCTGTTTCGAATTGTAATGAAATTTGAAACGGAACACTGTTCCGTCGAACTGGCAAAACTCAAGGCTAAAGGGAATGGTGCCATTTCACACACCTGCATCCAGCTGCTGAGTCTGCTCCCAGGACCCTGCCTGGCTGCTCGCTGGCTATGTGTGTTTAATCCTATTCCACTTTATGTAAGTGTAATAGGATCCTATTACAGAATCCTATTACATTTTATGCACTCAATGGCCACCTAAGTGCCATGTCTGGCACCAATGTGTGGATTGCAATCCTATTCCATGTCTGGTATGGAGATGTAGATGACTACTGAGCATGTGGAGTAGGCTGCAGTCTGCCTGGCCAGGTAAGTTCTTCCATATGTATGTATCTGGGTGTAAAGTTTTGGGGAAAACACCCATGAGGCAAGAGACCCAAGTTCAAGGCACCCATCATTTAGCAATGGTTTGAACCTCCATCCTTTCAGTTTGTCAGCACAATGCTGTAACCACTAGGCCATAGGTCAGGCATTAGCCATTTCTTCTTTTGAACAGAACCACTGAACTTTTCATTTAATAATTATGGGTTAAAATAGATGGAGAGGAGACTAAAACCCAGTATCTTTCTCTTCCAGAGTAATGTCAATCTCATTGAGCCTTACACCATCTCACTTGCTCTTTTCCTCTTAGTTTGACATAACTCCCCAGGTTCACTGCCTAGGAATATAGCTTCAAGACGAAGGCTCAAGAGAAGAGGGGATTGGGTAATGTCTAACTTGTGGCCCCATGATTCGAGCATTGCATTGACAAGTAAGACACCCACCTCTGGGTACGTGAGCCCAGAAACTAGGTATCCTCCTTCTTGTGGGGAGTAACATAACCACCAGGTTATTGGGCTGAATCACTAGAAAGACCTCCTCCTTCAGCCCCAGAGTTTTTTGCTTAGCTACAATTTTGGTATTTACATGTGTGTATGGAATCACATATTTACCTGGCTAAAGCACAGATTATTGCACATCATCAGTAGGCATGTAGACACTTGCACTTCCATATTGCACATGGAATAGGGTCACAAACTGTGCATAAATAACCAAAAAATGTTGCAAAAAAAACAGATCAGAATCTTTTTTACTCTATGAATTTCTATTTGAAATTCCTGACTGGATGTACACAAGCAGGGGTATGCTTTTGCAGCAGCACAAATAGTAGCAGCACAAATTTGTGCTGTACTTTGTGCCACAGTGCACACTTCTGTCCATGTGCTTTTCAGCAGGACACATTATCCCACTGCTTCATGTGCCACAGGGTGGGCTGGTTGGGGCACAGGATGTCTCACCAGGGGCTAGCTGGCAGGCAGCTCCTGTACTGAGGCACCCTGTGCCCCAGCCAACTGGGATGCAGCATATGGAGACAACACCTTGCACCACAGACACTACTCCCTGGCTGGCTGGGCTGCAATGTGCCTCAGCACAGAGGCTCCACGTGCCTCAGTGCAGTCGGCTTCCCAGTGAAGCCCCCATGCTGAGGCACACAGAGACACGGGAGCAGGCCGTGCAGGGCTGCCTGGTCCCCAATCTTGATGCACCCTGCACCCAGCCAGCTGGGGATGGGCTGGTTGGGGTACCTCAGTGCAGGAGCTCTGCAGTGTGTGGAGACAGTGCAGCAGGCAGCCTAGGGCACACAGCCCTGTCTTGCATTTGTCCTGGTGTATGCCACCAAAGTAAATCATCTTTTGGTGTGAATTGCACCACTTTTTCGCTACTGGGAATATCCTGGTAGCAAATTTTGCCCCAGGACTTGTAAACTGGCAGCACTGGTCATGGATTAACATGCAACTCATGAGGTTTTTGGTGCCACAAAGAGGTTTGCGCCACCACAAACCACACATGCCTACAAGTCTGGATCCTGCCTCTGGGTTCAGGTTGTAAATTATGTGCAGCACCTAACAGTGCTAATATTGTGTTGTACCCTGCAGTACCCTTAAAAGGATTTTACAGCACCCTAGTAAGTATCCTGGTTTAAACAGTTTAGTTTTACTGAGAAAAATTGATATCCACTATATTGTGGTTTCCTTTTGTTACATACAGAAATAAACTTAATAGTTGATTATTCACAATACCTATTAGAAATTGTAATGACTACTGAATTGAAAAAAT